AAACGATCATTTTATATTTTTACCCACTTACCGGTACCTTTAGGGGTCCATAGGGATATCATCATATTTGTGAACCCAATATCCAATTAAATAATTAACCGGCCATCCCCATACCCCGTCTGGTAATGGGCGCCAAATATTCTGCTACCTCAATACCCCGTCTAGTATAAAAGTGAACCATATCTCTCAAACCTTATTGGTAAGGGACTTTTCAGCCCCGTCCGATTGAGATAACGTTCACAGTAAAGTTTCCTATGTACCAGGCTCGTCTGCCCTTTTCCAGATATCTAGTAAGTCTTTCCCATACAGATTTCCATCAGTATAACAATCAATCACATAATAACCATATTTTATTTTATACTTACAGTTCATTTAGACAACAATATAATTTAACACAACTAAATAACTAATGTCCGACATATCGGCACACAATACATGAAAAACAAATAATCAAATAACCAAAAAAACTTTAAAAATCATCAATTGAGTTACGCATAGTATAATAATAACCAAATATATGCAATACAGAAAAATAAATAGGAAATCGAAACAACCATAAACTAATTAGTTCCGACTCCACTAGTGACCTGTAATTATTTTTAAGATTATCTAATTTTTTATAAAAATACACAATTATTAATTATTAAGTCTCAATTTACCGTAACAGAGAAAAGAATGAGGGATTCTTGTCCGAATCAGTATTTTGGGACCCTGCATTGTGTTGTAAAGGCGCAGAACTTAAATGAAAATAAAATCATAAATTCAATATGGAAGCGAAATAATAGAGTTATGGTTTACATTCCTTAACAATAAATTAGAATACCTAATAGGGTTACGAGAATGTCCATTCTAAAAGAACAAACGAAAATCAAAGAAATAAATGAAAGACAAATAATAAAGCAATTTTAGAACGACCTTCACTAGCTTTTGAAAGGGAGTCTGGGTGGTGAACTATTCACAACTCCCTTGTTGATCGGGATCTGGATCTTGGTCCTCTTTATCTGAAATATTTAATGAAGGGGTGAGTTACACTACCCTAGTAAAAATATTACACTAATAATAGATACAAAAAACTGAATATTAATAAAAATCAGAAAAACGACCAATTGAGCCTTTAATTTAATGTAAATTCATTTACTATAAAGAAAATCATTTATTTCATATTTGTGTAATAAGTATTTTCTAACAATAACTTATGAAAATTCATATTCATGCACTAATATTTGTCACATATAAGATAACAAAAAACGATCATTTTATATTTTTACTCGCTTATCGATACTTCTGAGGGTCCATAGGGATGTCCTCTTATTTGTGAACTTAATATCTAATTAAATAATTAATCGGTCGTTCCCATACCCCATCCAGTAATGGGCGCTAAACATTCCACCACATCGATACCCCGTCCGGTATAAAAGTGAATTATATCTCTCAAACCTTACTGGTAAAGGACTTTCTAGCATCGTCCAACTGAGGTAACGTTCACGGTAGGATTTTTTTTATATACTGGACTCGTTCGCCATTTTTTAGATACCCAGTAAGTCTTTCCGATACAGATTTCTATTAGTATAACAACCAACCACGCAATAACCATATCTCATTTTATAATCACAGATAACTTAGACAACAATATAGTTTAATATAACCAAATAATCAAAAAAATCCTAAAAATTATTAATTAAGTTACGCATAGTATAATAATAACCAAATATACACAATATAAAAAAATAAATAGGAAATCGAAACGACCATGAACTAACTAGTTCTGACTCAACTAGTAACATGTAATTATTTTTAAGATTCTCTAATTTTTTTATAAAAATACATAATTATTAATTATTAAGCCTTAATTTACTGTAACGGAGAAAAAACTAATGGATTCTTACCCGAATCGATGTTTCGGGACACTGTGCTGTCAACTACACTTTCTAATAGGTATCAGGTTTCCTGAATTATCTATGCGAAATCCAAAACACTTGTTACGTACCTAAAAATACCATACGAATTCAAAATTAGTGTCCAAAACTTATTTTGACCAATTTCGAGGTCTCAGCACGGCGACAATGCCATGCTCTAGCGCCAGCTCCATCACCCACGGCGGCAGTTCGCCTTGACCTAGTCGGTTTTGGCCAGTTTTTGGACAGTTTTAACCGTATCTCTGCAGAAAAACATTTCAGGGGCTTCAGTTGATCGAAAAATCATAGAAAACTAAACTCACCGGTCGGGAGGGGGGGACCTCCGGGTATGGTGGCTCCGCTGGTTCTCATTCGCGATTGAGATTCTTTCTTCTCTCAACCTGTACATAAAAAGATGGTGAACACAATGGTCGAAAAATCACGTGAAATGGGAATCGGAAATGGGTTCATTTGAGGGGTTTTGGGACTTTGGCAGCGGCAGCTGTGTCGAGCTTTGCCTAAGGTTTCTCACTCACTTGTTGTCCCTTTTGCTCCGATTTGGCAATGGGGGTGCTCGGAATCAAATTCTGAGCGGGTAATAGAATTTTTATCTTTTTTAGCAGTCGGAGGTGGCTCCAATGCAGCGGCGGTCGACGGTCGACGGTCAGCTCCCTTCTCCAGCGACTGGTTCTTCTTCTCCAGCGAGAGGCTGACGGCTAGAGTTCGGGTTCAGTGTGATACGAAATATTTATACGCACATCGCGTTAATCTGGACCGTTCATCGCGTTTGATCTCGACCGTTCGATCGCATTTAAGGAAGAAACGAATCTAAACCGTTTATCGTGATTTGATCTTGACCGTCCGATCGCGTTTAAGAAAAAAATGAATCTGGATCGTTCATCGCGATTTGATCTC